GCTGGGCTGTAGAACTGGGTACAGAGAGCTGTACCCTTTGGAGTCCTGAGTTCATTCAAACTGAAGGCTGGGCGACAAGCCCATGACTACCTCTGATTCAGTGCACAGGGGCCGGAGCTTGGTGGGGACTCCCAGGCAGAACAAGTCCAGGGCAGCTGGGCAGCTTCCCAGGAGGGGGTCATTGCAAACCCGGTTTCTGGGAGGACAGATTAAGACCTGGCCTGGACCTGTGATCCTGTACCTAGGGAGGTATGTTCATTGGGGACAAGGACAGACAACCCCCTCACCTTAATTAAGATGAAGTGAGTTAACGTCTCTGTGTAAGATTCTTACTGCCTTTCCCAAGCAAGCTGCTTTCTCTCCAGTAGGGTCTATATCCCTGTGGGAGGGAAACAGTCCAAAGAGAGTTGCAAAAGACTGAATCTCAAGGTAAGCCAAGACTTTAGCATCTATTAATCACCTTGAACTTGGCTTGTTCTTACTGACTTTCATGGGTTCAGTCTATGAAATGAATAGAGGAGCCTAGAATTTCCTCAAGGACATTGGGGATGTTTTGGCTGCGTCTTTACGTTTGTGAAACATTTTGTCAGGAGAAGATAAAGGGGGTAGTGGAGGATAGCTTCTTTCCAGAAAGTGGGGAGAGCGAGCAGATCCCTGGAGTGTGCCATGTAAAGGGGTGATGGGTAGAGTGAAGGCAGGCGAGTAAAGTGGGGTGGGGCGTGAAGGACCTCGAGGGCTGTGCTGGGGAGGTGGGACCACCCTGTGAGCTGTGCAAAGACCTTGTGCTGAGCAAAAGAAGCCTACATGTTTGTGATATGAAGTTCAGGAACAGGACAAACTAAGTGATGGTACTGGAATCAACGTGACAGTCCCTTGCTGGGGATGGCTGTGACTGGGAAGGGGCCCGGGAGGCTCCGTGAGTGCTACTACCTTACTGGAAGTGCTGCCTGAGCACTTAGCAAGCGGTGCACTTTATACCTCCATTTACAAAGGCTAACTGTCCACGTGTGGCGGGGAGGAGATTGGAGGCGGGGAAAAAGAAGCCAGAAGGATAGAAGGAGCTGGAGGTGAGGGTCTAACTGGGTGTGGCTTCAGTCACCGTCTCTATAAACACTCCTCTGGCCTTTGAAGGTTATGCTCCATGTACCTACTCTACCCAGTGCTAATTGACGGATGTGTTTGGAAATTTGGCCTGCATTGTATTTCTATGCCTAGTAGTCATTTCTTAAAAGCCAGCAGTTTTCTGGCTTAAGGAAAAGAAATCTTGAGAACAATTGAGTTTTAAGTATTCAACGGCAGAGTATTACTGCCAGGGGAATCTGTTGTGTTTTCAAATCACCGTGACCAGATCTTTAATGGCCTCTCACCTGCGGCAGGAATTACACATTTTCTTAAGTTCCAAGGAGATTGAAACTTGGGTAGGAGCTTCAGCAATACAGATTTTGACCTAAGAGCTGCCCAAAGGAGGCACTGCTTTTCCCTGGGAGCTCATGAGCACCCTATGCAGAGAGCCTGCTGTGTGCTGGGTTCTGGGCTGGAAGTTGGGGACACAAATAGAAACAGGACAGGGTGCCTCAAGGAGCCTGTTATCCAGGAGGAAAGCCTGTGTGTGGGCAAGTCTTGCAGCGCAGTGAGATCCAGTGGTATAAGAAGTGGTATAGAGGAGGGCATATTACAGCTAGGAGGATCAGGAAGAGGTGATACCCGGCAGGGCTTTTAGAGAAAGCAGGCTACTGAACAAGTGACTCAAGTATTGCAGGTAAGGGGTGGGGTGGGACAGATGGAGGGACAGGGCACGGAGGCACGAGACAACACCTGTATGAGGGACTGGGGCGCCATTGGTGGTGGTGGAGCCCGAAGTGCTAGGGCAGGGATGGCAGCGTGGGGCAGATGTAAGTGGTAGCGATGGGCTTGGCCGCAGAGACCTGTAAGAGGCTAGTGTTACAGTGTAAGCGAGAGATGAATTCAGGAGGCGGGCAGGAGCAGATGGCGGGCAGTTGGACACATCCAGGGGTGTGGGCCCTTGGCAAGGTGTTGTTGGGTGTCATGTCTGGAAGACCTTCTAGCCCTCCTGCCCCCTGCAGTGCCCTGTGCTTTTGCTCTGCATTTAAACAGAGGCAGTAGGGCAGTGGCCAAACTTTAGAGTCACGCAGATCTGAGTTCCAATTCTAGCTTCATTTCTTACCTGATGTGTGACCTTGGACAAAGCTGAAGGACTTCACCTTTCTGAGAATGCCATCTAAAAGATGAGGATATGATCTGGGGCGCCTGGGTGGCTCAGTCGGTTGAGCATCCGACTCTTTTGGCATTTGACTCAGGTCATGATCTTAGGGTCGTGGGACCAAACCCCACAACAGGCTCTGCACTCAGGGTAGAGTCTGCTTGGGGATTCTCTCCTTCTGCCCGCGCCCCCCCCACTCATTCGCGCGTGCATACGCGCTCTCTCTCAAATAAATACGTAAATCTTAAAAAAAAAGATGAGGCTATGATCTACTGATAGAGGGTCTAGGAAGATCAAATGAGGAGGTTATCTTAGCCCAGCACCTGGCAGAGCGTAAGCACTGCATGCATACAGGGTCACTGGTGCTGTTTTAATTGATGATCATTATCTCAAGACAGGTATCTACCTGCTGGGAGTGATGGCAATCCGGGAATCCCTGCAGGGAGACCTGGGGGGAGGTAGGGGACTGCGGACAGAGTGAAGAAGCCTGTTTGGTAGTGAGTCTCCACACTGTGGGGGCCGGTGTAGGAGAACATGGCTGTCTCGGGCTCACTTTCCCTAGGGCTGCTAGGAGAAGGCGAGGGTCCTGGAATGCCTCATCAAAGTGATGTTTTCAAGTTGTTTGGAGCCTGATACGCAAAAGACTTACAGGCAGGGCCAAAGGGAGAGGCCAAGCAAGCCCATCACCGACAGTGGCCGGTTTCTGTGGTTCTTCCTGCAGAGCTGTATTTGGAAGTGTAATTAAAGTCCTTTTCAAAGGGGGATCTGAGGATGGGTAAAATAGAGGAAGGGGATTAAAAGGTACAAACTTCCAGTTATAAAATAAGTCACAGAGATGTAATGTATAGCCGAGGGAATATAGTTAATAATACTGTAACAACTTGGCGTGGTGACAGACGGCAGGTGGACTTGTGATCACTTTGCAGTGTATACAAATGTTGAATCACTATGTTGCACACCTGAAACTAATACAATATTGTATGTCAGCTACCCTTCCAAAGAAAGAAAGAAAAGAATTTAAAAAAAAATCACCCTAAAAAAAGTCTTTCTTTCTAGACTTATGGGTAGTTTTGGTTATTTTGGGGTCAGGTTCAGTGGTTCTCCGCAGAGAGCCCGAGATGCCGAGAAGAGCAGCTGGTGCTCCGATCAGGCTGTGCCTTCACTCTTGGCCACGAGCAAGTGCACGTGGGGAGCGATATTCTCTTTTAAGAGGCTAGTCCTTCACTTCAGAAAAAGCTGCGTAAGCTCTTCCTCCTTCTGCCCTCACCCCCATTTATTTATTTTTTTTCTGCTTCTGATCTCAGAGCAACTAATTCTTGCTGCAAACGTTGTTGTAGATACTCTCTTACCTGTTCCCTTTGATTCCGGGATGGTGTGCACTGAGTATCGCACACTGTTTTAAAAGGCTTGTTAGATACATAAAGTTACATGTTATATTCTACACCTTAGAGACAGAAGAAACCTATCCTGGCCCTTTGAGGTAGGCGGTTTTCTATTATGTTAGCACACGGGCCCATGCCCTCACTTCCGATGCAGTCAGGGATCATCTATATAATGGGAGAGTATGTCTTTCAAAGCTTTTATCCCATCCCTTCTGGTTCCCCTTTGAGGTGACATGTAACTTGTAAGGGCTCCACGGAGAGGCATCGTGGTGTTGGTTATTAATCAGCGTGTGGGTTGCTGCGGTAGCTTCCTGGCTGGGTACTGTCCATCTTGCTGGGCTGTCGTCCTAAGGCGCTTCTCTCTGGAGGAGGAACGCGGGCTAGGCTCCTCAGGCAGCCTTAGTAGCCCTCCTGCAGGGGGCGGACTCTCAGCCCCCCACTGCTCCCTGGCCACCTCTCCACCTCTTGAGCCAGGCATCTTTCCTCCTGGGGGGTTCCCCCTGGGGCACCCTCGTGCCTCCCCCGTTCCTTTCCTTGCCTTTGAATCTCCCTACCCTTTCTTCACACATCCTGATCCCTTACTTTCCTCAAGGTCCGTCTTGAGATCATTGTGCTGAAGCGTTTTCAGATGAGTCGTCTCACAGAGCCTGTGCCCAGCATGCTGTTGGTGTATTTACGTCCCACTGCCTCATCTGCTTATACAATATTTTGGTCACTTCTCACCCAAGGCTCGTGGGTGGTCAAGGTGCCGCGTTGGGAGGTGCTAGGAGACCTTGTTCCCGTGTAGGATCTGCCATCACCTTCCCGTGAGACCCTGGGCAAGGCACCTTGAGTTTTCCAGTGAAACAAACCCGCAGAGGTAGAGTAGCTCTCTGAGGCGTCTTTGAGCTCCCACATGTCCGCAGCATTTGCCCCGAGAGCCTAGTTTGCTGCTTGTGGCCCAGTTGCTCTTAACGGGAGATGATTCTTCCAAAGCAAAGTGGGGAGAGAAGATAGAGGTTTTTGTGCCCATATGGCAGTTTGTGATACACGTGTGTATACAAAATCTTTGTCTGTGTAGTGTCACGGAATAAGCATTTTAGTATACACAGTAAAATCTGTGTAACTTGACAACATTCCAGAGTAAAATTTGCCTCTACTGTAGTTTTTGTAGGTGAAAAGGAATGAACTTTTCTTCCAGAGACTCCAAAGCGATTTTTTTTTCCTTTGGAGAGCCTCCAAATACTAATATTTGGTACACATTTCTTTTTCTGGAAGGAAACCTCAGAATATGGCACTCATGAGGTAAGATGCTAGCATCTTGAGGCTAAGCCACTGCTGTGCCACATTTTATTACTTGATTTGATTCTTTGGAAATGTAACACTCCTTGTCTTTTCGCTCTCTTCTCTGTAGTTGGAAAATGGGTAAGAAGAGTCGAGTGAAAACGCAAAAATCAGGCACTGGTGCTGCAGCAAGTGTGTCACCGAAGGAAACCTTGAACCTGACTAGTGAGCTGCTGCAGAGTAAGTTCCGCCCTGGGCTTCCCGCCTCCCCGTGGGGCTTTGTGGCCTCATGCCTTCGCATCCTCGGGCTGCGCAGGACAGCCTCTGGCCCGGCGAGGCAGGAAGTGGGACAGATCCCAACATTTTAGCCACGTGACCTGGGCCAGTGTCAGAACCTCTCTGACCCGCCGTTTCCCCCTTCCATAAAGCTGGGGATAGCAGTCGTGGGTAGTGATGAACGAGGGCTGGATGAAACCGCTAACCGCCCAGAACAGGGGCTTCCCTGGGCGCCAGTGGGCAGGGACCTACTCGACTACCTCGGGCAGATCGTGCAACCCCTCTGAGTCCTGGTGTTCACAGTGGTCCGTACCGCCTGCCGGGGAGGGGGAGGGCCGTGCGAGCCGTGGCGCATAAAGGTGCGCCGTGGCCGTCAGGCCCAAGGTGGGCACGGCAGGCCTCTCAGAGCAGACCTTTGGAACTCTGCCCCCTTGTTAGAGTGGCTCCCCTTTCGTTTTAGTGATTCAGTAATCGTTTTCCAATTTCTTGGTTCAAGGAAGTTAAATATCTATTAAGTGCCTGTACTTGCTTTAATACGTTAGTGTAAATTGGTAACTTCTTTTCTTACTTGTGAATTTAAATTGGTGCTATGGTGGTGTCAAACTTCGCTGTAGTCACTGTACTAACTCACTCCATTGTCTCGTTTTCTTTGCCCCTTCTGTTCAGATTATGTGACAGGCTGAACCCCACATAAAAATTTAGCTTTCTCTTCCTGCCAGAAGCAGGCAGCAACCAAGTCGGGGTCAGGTCCCTCCCCAAGGGCTCCTGTGGACTCCTATGACCCCTGTGGCCCTCAGAGCGGTGTGGGCCCCCCATAGAGCACTGAGGTACTGACCGCTTACCACCTCTGTCCCGCACTGGACTGCGGGCAGCTTGAGGACAGGCTCTGTCTTCTTGTATTCCAGGGCCTCCGTCAGGACTTGTTGATGGAAGAATGACTGGTTAACCTTAATAGTCATGAGTCAGCCCATGCGTTATGCCTTGTTAGTGTCATTTACCACATACACTCTTTTCCTCAGAGAACAAAGGTGGCCGTGGGAAGAAGGCTCTCTCTTTAAACTCATGCAGTTGTTGAAAAAGGAAAGAGCTTGCTGATAGGCCGGGTGCCCAGGGCACAGCGTTCCAGAACCACCAGCACCAGTCTCGAGTGCTGGTCTTTGCTTCTGGCCCTACAGCAGAGTCTCAGCTTCCTTTTGAGCAGTGACTGTGCCATCTCATTTTTTGACTCCCCCAGAGTACTTAATATAGAGCCTTATACATGGATGTGCAATGTCTGTTGAGTAATTGTTCTTATGTCCAATTTAACTGGTTCCTTTAGAGAGCCATTGTTCTAGGATTTAACTAGAAAGAAATGTTGACTTTTAAGATGACCTTTTTTAAAAATCCATCTAGAAGAGTTTTCAGGGAAATGTTTTGCATTTTTAGCCTAGCTTTTTAGATTTTCCCACAGTCAAGTATATTCTGAGGAGAATTTCTGAACAGCAAGTGTGAGAGAGTTGCAAGCTCAGTGCTCACACTTAGGTACGGGGGTCCCAGTTTAGTAAGTGGCATGTGGATGGGTTCGGAGGGTGTATATGCTTTGAAAAGTATACCTGGTTTATACTTCCCACGTTTATCAGCATGGCTGTGGTATCTTTGTCCTTTAAAAGTAAACCAGCAGCGGTAACAAAACCCCAGTCCTCTCTGTGCTGGAGACTAGCTGGTTGAGTTGAAAGCAAGCAGTATTTGAGTGCCATGGCTTTTGTGTTACAGAATGCAGTAGTCCCACACCTGGCCCTGGAAAGGAATGGGAAGAGTATGTGCAGATCCGGTCTCTAGTCGAGAAAATACGAAAAAAACAAAAAGGTACATTTTCTAGAACAATAATCTTATTTTAATAAAACCCTTTAGAGACTTGGCACAAGTCAGAAATGTTTTGAGGTTATGTGAAAGTCTTGGTGTCATTCCTGCCTGTGGAAGGTCACAGTGGAAGGGGCTCGGAATTTGGGAGAGATGTGCTGGGAAGCTGTCCCAGGATCTCTCCCATTTCTGAGGTGCTGCTACCTGCTTTGGGAGGGGTAAGAATGTTGAGTAGTAGGGGAAAAGTGTTTGTATCTAGGGACTAAAATGACACAACTTTTGGGGCGCCTGGGTGGCTCAGTCGGTTAAGCATCTGCCTTCAGCTCAGGTCATGATCTTGGGGTCCTGGGATCGAGCCCCATGTTGGGCTTCCTGCTCAGCAGGGAGTCTGCTTCTCTCTCTCCCTCTATCCTTCCCCACCACTCGTTCTCTTTCTCTCTCAAATAAATTAAATCTTTAAAAATAAATAAAATGACACAACTTTTATTTATTTTTTACAAAATATGTATTTAGATCTGTTTTTCCACATTGTGTTTCCTTGAGGGTTTGAGGTCAGTACATAATGCCATGAGTGGTCAACACACAAATAAATATACACTAATAGATTAATGTCTTCACAAGATTTACGATGAACTCAAACCTATCTTGGTTAAGTAAGAGATGTAGTTCTATTTCTGAAGCTCTGTTTTTACAGGGTGTATTCAGTAGGCGTGTTAATGATTCTCAGCCAGGCCAGCGACGGGGCCAAGTGTCAGCTTGAAAAAGCCTATTCAATATACCTATTGTTTTTGTTCTGTAAAGCACAAAAAATAAAGATTGGTATGCAGGGCCACATGGAAGGTGGAAGGAGAAAACATAATAAGGAGCCTGCGTTTAAAAGGGTCAGAAGAACCTTCTTAGACTCCATTTTTATTTACTGCCATGAAAGTCAGAAGAGGGTTTGTTTTTTTATTTGCTCTCTGAGGTTTTATTGCGCTCCCGTGTACTTCTAGAAACATGCAGTCTTTAGCTTAGATGGTCTCGAACCCCAGATGGTGACAGGTTCCTTTATAATGTGGTTCTTTGCTCTAAATGGTAGACCTGCCAATCCTGGCTCACCAGATCTATAGCGGGACAGTGTTTGTATGTCCTGAGCGTTTGTTGTTAGCAGAGACGGCTAACTACAACTCACACTAAGGTTAGAGCATTCCTGAATTCTCAGCAAAGAGTGACTTCTGTCTCAGAATGTCCCTAACAAAATCAGCTTTCTGCGTATGCAGTGTGGCACAGCCCTGTGCTGGGCCGTCCTGCTGCAGAGATCCAGGTGACCGCTGATGGTGTGTGGGCGTGGCTGCAGGCACCTGGGCTGGGCTCCACACCCTGCTCCTCACGTTTGTGAAGTTCCTGTTCCTCTCCTTTTATTTGTCAAATAAATCTTGGTTTTTCCTCTGCATGGCTTTTCAAATAACACAACGCCTAAGAATCTCCTACCCAAACTGAATCAGTCCCACCGATCAAGTTCTCCCTCCTTCCCACCTGCTGGTCTGATCCCTGTCCCTCCCTCCATCCTTTGTTTTATTTTCATTATTTGTTTTTAAGAAATACATGTTGCAGATGTAGCTGAAGCCCCATGCTTCTATCCCAGTCCCTTTTTGGCCCCCTTGGGAGTTTGTCTTGACCGAGAATATTTTTCTACCTCTTGTATAACCCCATAAGCAAGTGGTATTTTAAAATTTTGCATAAATGGTTTCAGAGCACTTGAATTTTTAAAAATTTATTTAGTACTTGAGAGAGAAAGCACACGTGCGCATGTGAGAGAGGGGAGGGGCAGAGGGAGAGCATCTCCAGCAGACTTCCTGCTGAACTCAGAGCCCGAAATGGGGCTCCATCTCAGGACCCCGAGATCATGACCTGAGCTGAAACCAAGAGTCAGACGCTTAACCAGCTGAGCCACCCAGGCGCCCCAGAACACTTGAAGTTTTAAAAACACGGTGTTCTGGGCACCTGGGTGGCTCAGTTGGTTAAGCGACTGCCTTCGGCTCAGGTCATGATCCCGGAGTCCTGGGATCGAGTCCCACATCGGGCTCCTGGCTCGGCGGGGAGCCTGCTTCTCCCTCTGACCCTGTCCCCTCTCATGCTGTTTCTCTCTCTCTCTCTCTCTCTCTCAAATAAATAAATAAATAAATAAAATCTTAAAAAAAAAACCCCCACGGTGTTCTATTTTGTTTTCTTTGTAGATACATATGATCCAACTCATTCAAACTGTTCAACAGAATTCAGTTGCAGAGCTGTCCAGTTTTGTGCTCTTAGAATCAAGCCTGTAGTGCTCATCCTTACACACACCTCCTGTGCGCATGTCAGCTACTGATTTCTGTGTTCTGGGAATTTTGTTGAAGCAAAGCTGCCTATAAGACACGGCACGCTGGACTTAATGGCGGGGGGGGGGGCTGCTGTTATGTGTGAGGTGGTGAAGCCCTCCCCTTTCTACTGCATCGCCTCACAGAGCCCAGTAGTCAGTAGCCCTATGTCCTGGGCTCAGCAAATGCTTCTCCGCAGCCAACGAGGGTTGAGGATTGTACTTCGCCTTTCCTGCCACTAGTTAGGATATGTACTGTGACTGTTCTGTGATTCGTTTTTTTGTTGTTGTTTTGTTTTTCTTTCCTTGTGATTTCTCCTTTTGTCCATGGGTTATTTAGAAGTGTTCTGCTTAATTCCAAATATTTGGGAATTTTCAAGATTTTTTTCTTTTGTTGATTCTAATTTGATTATGTTTTAATCAGAGAACATTGTATGATTTCAGTCCTTTCCAATTTATTTAAACAATTTTTAAACCAGTTTATTTTTTTAGCTTTTCTTTTTAAGATTTTTTTTTAAGATTAAAGCCTAACTGCCATACAGTATTGTATTAGTTTCAGGTGTACAACACAGGAAGTCGATATTGCATACATTACATAGTGGTCACGCCCGTAAGTCTTGTTACCTGGTGATGAGTTTTGATTTCAAGATTGGAGCGTTATCACTATTTCCAGTGTGTGTTTTTTAGTTTCTGAGAGCAGAAAGAATGATATGGGTCCTAAATATAGCTCTTGTTTTCTGACACATGGATTGAAACAGGTCTGTCTGTTACTTTTGATGGAAAAAGAGAAGATTACTTCCCTGACCTAATGAAGTGGGCCTCTGAAAATGGAGCCTCTGTTGAGGGTTTTGAAATGGTCAACTTCAAAGAAGAGGGCTTTGGTTTGAGAGCCACGAGAGACATCAAGGTGAGTTTTGATCGCTTGCTCTGGGAGCCCTCGGCGTGCTTGGATTGTGCTGCGGGGCGGGCACAGGACGGGGAGACGGGTGTCTGGGCTGATTCTGACTCATGGGCAAGCGGGCAGCGCGCCGTCAGCACTCTGCTTCCTGCTGCGGGGTCTCCGGGCTGACCAGGGGCCCGGAAGAGCCTTATCAGTGTTGTAGGCAGCCCCTTCCAGTCTGTCCTCTGGGAGCCATGCTGCTAACCAGTGACCTGGGGCAAGTCAGTTCATGTTTCAGAGCCTCTGTTAGGAGACCACAGAACATGCCTCAAAGGATTCTGAGACTTCAAGAGAAGGATGTGGGCTCAGGCGGTTAGGAGGGGGAGCACGCAGGACCTGTGATAGAGTCGATGTGCAGGTGGGTGGATTGGGGTGGAGGATGGGCAGTGTCCAGGGTGCTTACTTGTTTTCTGGAGGGGGAACTGAGTGGTTGGCAGTGCCACCTACTGATACTGTACCACCGGAGCTGAAAGGGAAAGAAGAGCAGTATACACCTGCTAAGGGACAAATGCTTTTCCTCTGCTCTGGGTCCTTCCCTCCAGCTGAAGGGAGCAGCAGTACCCTGACATTCCCAGCCTCTCTCTGCCCCTCACTCGTGCCTTTCTTAGAGAGGAGGCGTAACCTAATCTGTTTGAAGATTTGGGAAGAAGGAACTGGTCTTGGCCTGTTTCTTGGTGGGAGCTGGTTGCCCATATGCATCCATTGCGCTCTCTCCGCTCTGTGTGCTTTACAGGGCAGGCCACACGTGGGGAGGCCCGTGGGGCTCCAGTTCTCCCTGTAACTAGGTGGGGGAGTCGGTCTAATTCTGGGATTCAGTAGGTGATATTTTGGGTGACCATCTGTTGCAGTCTTGTGTCTCTCTCAGTGGGTTCAGAACTTGGATGGAGGAAATGAGTGTTATTTATTTGGGCCCCCTCAAACGTCAGGCAACGTTTTTGGTCAAGTTGTAGTTAACCTTTCATTGATAAGTTGATAAACCACATACCGGTTTATTAGATAGCTATTAAATGTCTAGTATATGAACAGTACCTTGCTCATTATTATACCAGCCTTCTTCCTTCATGATGTTTATCATCTATATATAGTAGGAGAAGAGACACACATAAACAGAATCCAAATGGTAGACATTGGCAGAAGGCAAGAGTAACCAGGATGTCACACATTCTTCTGATGTATCAGAGAACCATCATTCATGTGGATGCTGCCCCAATTATCTTAACTGTGGTCTGTCTTCACCGTGTGCATTTTTTAAGCTTTATTGAGGTATAATTGATAAAAAAAAAAACTGCACATATGCAGTGTTGACATTGTGATGGGTTGGACATGCGCACACACCGTATCGTCAGCACAGTCAGGGCACTACTCTTTGCATGTTTTAAACAGTATAGAACATATACAGTACATACCAAAAAGAAACCTCTCATGTTGGCAAAAAATGAGATAGTATTTTTGGGAAAAACCTCAGTAAACCAAAATATGTCCTAGGGACTTGTGCTTTTGCTGGTAACTGTTGTGCCTTAAAGACAATCATGTTGAGAAAGGAATGTTCCTCTGGCTTCAAAAATACAGCAGCGAGAGCGGTTTACATCGACAGGTTCAAGTTTTTATTGGAGATAGAAATTGTGTTTTGTTTTGCTTTTTGAACTTAAGAACTTAAGTGCAGCAAAGAATTAATAGTTTTGTGCTCCACTCCAAATGGCTATGTTTACTTCAGATTAAAGTTGAAAGTCCCTTTTTTTTTTTTATCTGTTTTCTCAGTGTGTATGGTTAGTTTTTCTATTGGAAGTAGGATTTTAAACCCTGCTTGTACTCATCTACGTATACCACAAATATTTACATTTAAAAATACATTTCGGGGCTCCTGGGTGGCTCAGTCGTTAAGCATCTGCCTTCGGCTCGGGTTGTGATCCCAGTGTTCTGGGATCGAGCCCCGCATCGGGCTCCCTGCTCAGTGGAGAGCCTGCTTCTTCCTCTCTTTCTGCCCCTCCTCCCTGCTTGTGCTCTCTCTCTTTCTGTCTCTTGCTATCTCTAGTAAATAAAATCTTTAAAAAAAAAAAATACATTTGATAGTTAGAAATGAAGTGCTAACTTGTAACCTTAAACAGTATATCATGTGTGTTGTGTGATTGGCTTTCTGACCACAGATGAAGGGGCTGAAGATTGTCACATGTTTTAATGATTATATGATTTTCTTATTTTTTTCCTCCTAGGCAGAAGAATTGTTTTTATGGGTTCCACGAAAATTACTAATGACTGTCGAATCTGCTAAAAATTCAGTGTTGGGTGAGAATAATTTCTGACTGTTCAAGGCAAAGTGCAAGTGATAAAAATATGAAATTTTATTTTGTGGCGCTAAGGACCATATTTGGATATTTCCTCAAACTAGTGAAATGTTCCCCCAAATTCACATTGTTTTGCATGCTTGTAATCTGACATAGTAGAAGAGTGTCAGAAGAAAGGTGCATGTTACTCTAAATATTACAAAACTTTCCAGTTATTTCTGTAACTTTAATATATATTTTGATTGAATACTTTTTAAGTCGCTTTTTGGAACTTAACGCTGTTAACTTCTGGGTTGATTCAGGGCCCTTATATTCTCAAGACCGGATTCTTCAAGCTATGGGAAATATCACACTGGCCTTTCACCTGCTGTGTGAGCGAGCTGACCCTAACTCTTTCTGGCAGCCCTATATTCAGACCCTCCCCAGCGAATATGACACTCCTCTCTACTTTGAGGAGGATGAAGTTCGGGACCTTCAGTCCACACAAGCTATCCATGACGTCTTCAGCCAGTACAAGAACACGGCTCGGCAGTATGCCTACTTCTATAAAGTCATCCAGGTGAGTGGCTGGTTGCTGTTTATTCTTTTTTTTTTTTTTTTAAGATTTTATTTATTTATATGACAGAGAGAGACAGCGAGAACAGGAACACAAGCAGGGGGAGTGGGAGAGGGAGAAGCAGACTTCCCACCGAGCAGGGAGCCCGATGTGGGGCTCGATCCTAGGACCCTGGGATCATGACCTGAGTTGAAGGCAGACACTTAATGACTGAGCCACTCAGGTGCCCCTGGTTACTGTTTAAATGCACGTTTAACAGAGTGCGGAAGAAGGGGAAATCGATGGCATAAACGTTCTACCTCACATTTTATTACACATGTTTAAACATTATGCTTTTTAAGGTGAAAGCCATTCTGATTCTAGTCCACTGTCTGTTTTTGTACAGAAATATCCCTGAAGTGTGATTTGAACATATCTGACTTCCCGTGTTAATAGAAGCAGCCCTTGTTCCCAAGTTAGGAAAGTCTTTGAGCTTTTCTGAAAAGGAAAGATTACAGTACAATACAACTTTAGAAGCTATAAAATGTATCTAATACAAAAAGGTACTCCATGTATCAATTTTCCAAGAAAGTGAAAGGCCCTTTCTGGGTTCTTCATATATATATATTGACATGTATTTTACTGAATTATAGTGACAGTTAATTTAATAACTTAGAATGCTTAGAATCTTTGTGTCTTTCAGAGTGTGCTGTGTATTATATTAATTTTAATTAGTTCTAAGTGGAAGTGTCCTATAAAAACTTATGTAAGGTTGTGAACATTTGAATTACATCTGGTAATTCCTTACATCCTTTTCTGTGTTTTGGCAGTTCGCCCCTTTCTCAGTTGCTCAAGAATCAGCTCCAGGGCTGCTGCGCCTGATACGTGGCAGTGGGGATGCTGCTAAACTTCCTACGATGTACAGGGCAGCCCCCAAACGAATTTTCCAACCCAGAATGTCAGTAGTGCTAAGGTTGAGAAATCTTGCTTTGTGATTATACATAAAACAAAGTGTCTCGGGTTCCAGCATGATGCCAAAGATCACCATCATTCCTGACTGGTTGGATTCCTAGGGCCTGACTGAACAGAAGGAACTCAAGCTTCGTAGTGAGATGAACCCGAGTTGAAACCCAGATTCCATATCTCACGTGCTATTTAAATATAATTTGAAATTACAGTTGACCCTTAACACGGGTTTAAGTGGTATGGGTCCACTCATAACACGGTCATTTTCGATAGGTACAGTGCAATGTTGTAAATGTATTTACTCTTACGATTCTCTTTTTTTTTTTTTTTTTTTACGATTCTCTTGATAACATTTTTTCTCTCTCTTTATTGTGAGAATATAGAATATAGTATGTATAACATACATAAATCAACTGTTTATGTTATCAGTATTACTTCCCGTCAACAGTAGACTTTGGTAGTTAAGATTTTGGGGAGTCAGAAGTTACGTGTAGATTTTTGACTGGGTGGGGGTCAGCACCGCACCCCCTGCATTATTTGGGGGTCAGCTCTAGGTGCTTTACCCCTCTGATTGGTTTCCTTATCTGTAGGATAAAAACATATGCCCCATTTTCCAGTGTAACTCTTGTCAGTGCAACTTGGGCTGTTCATCAGAGCACCTACTGAGGTGCTAGGCCTCGGCACCTGTGGCCATTAGGAGTGCAGTTTCGTCTGGGAAACATGGAGGACATCTCGGTTGAAGCCATCTCAACGGGTGCAATGTCACTGAGGCGGTGGGCTCCGGAGCTGGCCTGCCGGGGTCCGAATCCCTGCAGCACCCTGACTGGTGCGCTCTTTGGGGCATGTCTCTGTGCTTGTTTCCTTATCTATAAAATGGGCTAATACGGTGCCCGACTCCAGGGTTGCAGAGCTGACCAAATGAGTTGACATATGTGTGGCCCTTGATGGACAGCAGTGTTTGCTGTAGGAATTCTCAATTTGTGTCACCATTCTGTGGCTCGTTCCTTCAGGCCGTGTGACTCAGTTGTTTTATTTTATTTTATTTATTTTTATTTTTATTTTTTTTAAGGTTTTATTTATTTATCTGAGAGAGAGAATGGGAGACAGAGAGCATGAGAGGGAGGAGGGTCAGAGGGAGAAGCAGACTCCCTGCCGAGCAGGGAGC